CCAGGATATTAAACAAAAAAGAAGCTTTCATTTCTGGATGGTTTTTACATCTCTGCAGTAGCAGTTTAATAGTTTTATTTGACGACATTCATTTCAGTCTGGTATTTTTAAAGGTGAAAAGTATGAAAGCTGTTCAAATGTTCTTTGAAGACTGCGCAGCACCAAGTTAAAGTGCAATTTAATTAAATCAGACTTTCAACATGTCAGAGGTTTTTTTCTCTTTCTTTCTATTTTCAGAGAAGTTGTGTTGTGTTGTGCTGTGTTGTCTAAAAAGGTAAACTTACGACTCGTAGAAAATGCGAAAAAGTCTCTAAATTAACTTGAGTATTTTTGAGCAAAAATTCCCTTTGGGTTTGGAAGGGTTATGTGATCGGTGAGTGAGGGAGTTATGCATGAGCGCGTGTCACACCAATCACAATGTGGGTTGTATCAAAGAACGAATCAAATTGCCTGTTAGAAAATAAGATGGTATCTACATTAATCTGGAGACATGTCAGATTACTGTAGTTTGTTCAGTCAAACATTTTATGGTTTACTATTTTGCTATCTTACCACGACCGATGTAACATCTCAACCAAAAAAACTTGTCGAATTAACCAAATCATTACTGTACCATGAATGCTCCTATCTCCGACACTTCACACAAAAAAATAACTCTTGCACGCCTTGGGTGCCTATGTTTATACAATATATCTGTAGTAAAAGTATTAAATAAACAGTCTGATTGAAAAGACTCAATCTAGATACCTGAGGATTGTGCAATCACTGTTGCTAGTACGAGGACTTGCTGATGAACTGCGAGATCTTAAACTAAACAACGCATGAAATAAATCAACATTCTATATTTAGTTGTCAAGCAAGTTTAAGTATTGCCAACACCATACTAATCAGAATAGAATAAAACAGTTTTATGCACAGGGTTCACTTTCAGTTCTTTCAATTCTTGCTATCAAATGTGGTCACAAAAATAGATAAACAAATGAATAAGTAAATAAATAAGTATTAAATAAAGAAAGAAAGTCAGGATCTGTATATTTAATAGGTCAATTTGTTCTTTAGGTCAGAATGATTTCAACCTAGGTTAATTTGTGTCAAAGGAGAAGGGTGAGTCTGGAACCAATAACTTATCAGACCAGCAAATATGAGCAAACTTGCAACTGTGGATTGTGTGGCCTAGTGGAGATGACGGTGGACTACAAAGCCAGAGATCAAGTGTTCATGTCTAGGTGAGTACAAGATGAAAAAAACATCTAGGAGTTCAGGGATTGATATGGTATTCTGGTAGGGTAGAGTAGAATAAAGAACAGAGGGGTTGGGTGGTCTGCATGTTATTCATTTTTAAGAACCCCCCAATAAATAATTAAAACTACTATAGTTTGAAAATTTTAACCTGCATACATGCATACATGTACATCCCTGATTTACTCTTTGCTAAGGAGAAAAAGATCTAGACCCTTCATTTTTACCACAGTAGAAATAATAAATTATCAGCCAGGATATCCACTCTGAATTAAAATGCTAGAAAAAAACTTAATCTTACAAAATAATTTTTTGTTGTATATTTATGGTAAACTTGAAATTTTAGGAGTCTCAGAAATAAAATTGAGAATGTGGCAAGGGCTAAAATGCATGACTTCATTGGTAGTAACAGAAATTTTAAAGTGCATGAACAATGTATTTCTAAACTGAGCAGCCATGGTTTCAATACAAACACAACTTAGTGTAGTCAACAAATTCCAAGGCTTGAAACAAGTGCCATAAGGTCATTGAGACCGAGGAGATTTTCCTGCCGGGCAAGTAACTTTACATTCTCACTTGCCTGTTGGGCCAAAAAGAAATGTAAACTAAGACTTGCCCAGGGCAAGCAAAATTTGAGAGCTGCTTGTAGGAGCTTGAAAGGCAAACTGGAATTTACATATTTTTTCGAGCCCTGAATTCCCTGACAAGTGTATGACTTACTTGTATGTACAGTTGACAGTGGTTGGAGGCTTGCTTGTCGAAGACGATCGCCTAGGTTGGCTTGGTTTGGATCTACTCATGAACAGATAGTGAATAACAATTATTATTGACAATTATTGACTACTACCATGCAACTCCAAAAAGCTGTGTGCACTTTGATTTGACTTTGAAATCCAAAAGAGAAGCCATAAACTTTTAGCATTGTTTACATAAATACATTTAACAAGTTCTATTCAGCCAGAACGGACTTTTTCTCCTCCTTTTATGAAAGTTCTATCTCTTCTCAGGGAAAACTAACCCCTTTAATTTGGAACTGATAATCTTTCAATCACATCAATGATAAAAAGCTTTGTGGATTGATCTCTCAAAATAAAAAAAAAAGGATGGTGAGTAATTAATTCATTTCATTTCATAAATGAATATTAAGTTGATTTGTGTAGCACAGTTGTGACCCAGTGTAGTCCTCAGTGATTAAATAATGAGTTTTATTACAACTTCTCAAAGTCATTTTTATTTCACTAATTCTTCAAGTTGAAACATGTTGAAGTTGAAGTCGTGACCATGATGTTGCTTGGATATCAGATCTTTATTAGCATAGTCTTTTAAGATTATATTTCTCTGTTTTTTCCTTAGTTTTAGCTTTAATTTGGGCTGAAGATATTATATAAAACACTCAACACACTGTTTGACCACATTTGAAACTTACACTGTATTATCAACTCTCTCCTCTGTTTTGGAAATGTGGTCACACACAGTCTTTCATGTTTGATATATCACATAACACATCATGTACATGAAAATATCTTACCACAGCTGTAGAAGTATCATTTTTACCTTTTGTTATCCACCTCGTTAGAAGAACTTTGAGTTGTTGACCCTTTTCTTTTTCCTTGCAGTTTATTCCTTAATAAAAGAGTCAATAAAAACATTAATATACAAATGGTATATGATTTGTAACTATAGCAACCCTGCATCAGTTCCAAAAAAATAACTTGAAAAACTATATACTTCTTTTAAAAATAACTGAGATACTTCGCAAACTCTGATTGGCCAAAAACCTATCATTTATTGTGCTAGCAAAGACATGGTTCCAATACGCAGCACTATGTGAGAACTAGACAACTTAGAACAGTCTAGTGAGAACATATTACATGTATAAGCTTTAAATATATATTCGCTTTCACTGACAGAGACATCATTAACACAAACATCTCTTAATTCAACATACACAGGGAAATTTGTAGGGGAAAACAGGACCAGAATTTGGTCATGATATAATGCTTGTTTAATGATCTTTTTTAATCTCCATGGCCAAAATTTTAGGCCGATTCTGTTTACGCTCAAGTTTAGAAGAAAGTTTAAGCACTTTCAGTGCTTTCCATTCTCTGTGGAGGATGCACTTCTGACCACAGCTGGGATTGAATGGTCAATTTGGGTTGTTAAAAAAGCAGGTAAAAGATTTCTTTCAAGTTAACATTAAGCTTATCAGTTTAAATTCAACGCATGAATTTGTAACACAATAAACAAATTTAGTTTCCATTACACATTCAAGCAGTAGCCTTCAATTCCATTCAGCAAAATACTGAGAAACACGCACTTCATAGCCTTCAACATAAGGAAATAAATTCTGAATAAATTTCAGAAGCAGCGTTTTTAGAACTAACCCATTCAAAGTTTTGAATGTTGTCGTTGAATCACTTCGCCAAGAACATGAAGTTTGCACCACTTGCAAACCATGTTTTTGCATGGTTTTTTACTTTTGTGATGACTGATTCCGGCCATGAATTCCTGCATTTTCCCATCAAGGTCCTTAAAACTAATTAATACACTCGCTGTCTTTCAGCAATAACCTTTTCCTTTCCTTTTCCAAAATATTTATAGCGCTAAATGTTTTCGTAGCTTTGCTCTGCAGATTTTGTGCCTGATGCTGAGTCTGTGCTTTCATTCTTTCAGCTTCTGTGATTGGTTTTTTTGTGCCATCTCACGAATGTGTTGAAAATAAGAACCTTGATCATGAAAGTGCGTTAAATTTTCTTCTCTTTGACAAACATTTTCGATAGTTATTTCATAAAAGCAATAGGACCACTCCTTCTATGGGTTTACTGGGGCAATAAACCACTTGGGATGTTGGGAAAACACTCACAAAGCTGTTCTCCCAACATCCTACATGGTTTATTGCCCCAGTAAACCCATAGAAAGAGTGGTTTATTGCTTAAATAACTCGACAGAAACACAGACCTGCCATGAGCTGTTGAAATAAGAAGGAAACCAGCAAAGAGATGTTACATTTCGAAAATCAAAAGCTAGTAATTATCCTTTTTATTTTCTCGGAGTATTTCAAAAAGAATTAGACAACATTTTCTCTGTGATCCTTTTAAAAACTTACATGATGAGCTGGAGATTTCTGTTTAAACAATAGTAAAGAGTGCTTCTGTCAAGGAAATATCAGCTGATACAGTAGTTGCCCTGTGGAAATTTGATGTTCCTAACACAAATATTTGCCAAAGAACCAAAGCTTTAAGGGCAAGTATGCTAGTTTCAAGAACATCAAATTTTCAGGGGGCAACTTTTAGACCAATAGTTCTGAAACATAAACACTCTATTGTCTTTATTGTTCACCATTATCTTCTTCTGCATGCCATTTCAACAATCATATTAAATTATTTTCAACTTTAAAAGATAAAAGGCATGAAAGCCAATGTAAATTTGTGTTTCGCACCACGGATCAGGGTACTACTCGAATTGAAGACACACCAGGAAAATAAAGTCCACGGGATCTACAAGTTGTTTTGAACTAGTTTAATCAGCACAAGCTAGCTAGTCAACTGAAAGCAAAGGCATACATGTGGGTTGACTATAGCAATTCTAAAAAATCGGATCTAACCTAAAAAACGAAACAGCAAAACATTCTCCAACATATTGTCGATATACTCACAATTCTGTAAGGCATAATCCCGTTTAAGACACGCTATTTTCCTTCTTTTGTACAAAGAGCACAAACACACTATTTTCGATATCAGGATTACTTTCTATTGATCTCTTGATATCCTACTCGCACCAATCCACGAACGAGAGCCATAATCCGATTGGCTACTAAAGCAAAAATGGCGGGAATCTCGCGTGATCGGTTTT